TAAAGCTCTGTACATGTATGAGGATTCTAAATGAGATTGAGATCTTGTGTACACAGTGACAGGCTGAGACAGAAGTCAAACAACAATTAACATTCACTGCAGATCAAGCATTCACTATGAAGAGCTTCATCAATGCAATCACTATTATTAATAAGAATAGAGAAAATCAGATCTTAGATCTGCAGTGAGAGATTGAACATTTACACAGACAGATGCCTATATCAAATCTGAAGATCTCATCATGATTATTCACAATCTCTTCAGAAGTATACACATCATCAAAGACTGCTGCACAGGATGAGAATCTGAGTATGAAATATATCAAGTCAGAAGATCTGTCAAAGTCACTAAGCTTTAATAGTGACTGAAAAAATGATGCTTCAATCAGCTGGCTAAGTCAGATGCAATTATATTATCAGATTGAATATGAACTCACAGACAGACAGTCAACAGAATTTCAACAAGTCTTAAGATCTGTCACATTTCTACATGAAAAAGCAAAGTCATTATAAATGACTGATGAAAAGATGAATCTCACAGACTCAGAGTGATATTCATTTTCATAAATATGAAATGAGTTTTTCAAATGAATCTTACACAACTTTGAGAAAGTGAATGTATGAGACAAGTGTTACAAATACTTCACTGAGTATAGATAAGTGAGTAATCTTACATCATACTTCACATACTTTAGCTTATACTATCTTGTATTGAATGAAGAGCTTTCAACATCTTTCTGTTTATAGATCTTTATTTATAATCTTACATCTGAGTTGAGAGCAGAATGAAAATGCTTAATCTCATAGTTAAATACAGTGAAGAAAGCATATAATATTCTCATTATACAGAAATAAGTGAGTTAATTATAACAGAAAATACTGTAATCAAGTATGTCTCAGCAGAGAATGAGTAATCAGACTTCTATGACATAAGTCACATACTCAGACATGATGAATCTAGATCTGAATGCTATCACTAAAGTACTGAATTCTCTGAAAAAGAGATTCTCTGAGTGAAAATCTTAATATTATAAGTATTGAGCTTGCTTCAACTGTAGATATCAAAATCATGATATAAAAGATTACACTCAGCATGCACAGTCAAGAGAAGCAAGAGAGTTAAAAAACTAGCAGAATTAGTGAGCTCAGAGACACTTACTGATATTCTATGAAAAGTTTTCAAAGTGAAAGAGATGTCTGTATTAGATGACTCTCTGAATTCTGTAAATATCAAGAGAAAGCAGGCTTCTGACTGAGATGTAGATGAGAATGAAGTGAACACTCATCTTAATACCTTGAGATCTGAAATGTTAATATATAAGAGACACTTGAATAAGAATTGAGAGATGACTGTAAAAGTATTAGCAGACACAGAAGCTTCTATATAATATATTGATGATTATATAATCTGAAGACTGAAAGAGATCTGCTGAGTGAAGAATTCTCAATACATAAGATTATCTGATAATTAATATTTAATATCATCTGTAAGAGTAAGAGTTTCCTTGTACTTTGAAGAATAGTCTTGCTATATTTGAGTATGAGAGCTGCAGAACATGAAATATAATCTTATTCTTGAACTTGATTGATTTCAAAGGTTCAATCTGCAGATTCAATGATGTACATGTTATATATGATTGACTGATAGAAAGAAAACAGTTCATATAATTCTATTAACTGATATAAGAAGGACATTTCATGTCTCTGATATAGAAGAATTAAATCTGTTTACATATTAACAAGTAAAGAGAACAATTCACAAGACCTTATCTGAAAGTATTCTGTATGTCATACAGAACTCAGAAGCAGAGAAAACCAAGATAAAAGATATGTAAAAGAACAAGTGTATGAAGAAGCTTCTGAAGAAGTATGAAAAGATCTTCTGAATAGATCTTTTATCAGAATTGCTGCTGAAATGAGAATTCATATATAAGATTAATACAGAGGACACAAAACTAGTCAATCAGAATGCATACTCTCTGTCACAAATACATCTCAAAGAACAGAAGTATCAGATCATCAATCTTCTAGAACATAGTCTTATATAACTCTCATCAAGTGCATGAGACTTTTCAGTTCTATTTGTGAAAAAGATGAGTAAGAAGTGACAGATATGTATCAATTATCAAGCACTTAACAAGCTTATAATCAAGAATGAATATTCACTGTCATGAATTCAACAACAGTTGAATATAGTTGGAAATGCCTGATATCTATTGAAGATTGATCTTCTCTCAGAATACTGACAGATCTGTGTAGATAAACTATCAGTTCTGTGAACTGTGTTTAATATATAATGAGAGAAGTTTGAATTCCTGATAATATCATTCAGTCTGATAAATGCACTTATCATCTTTCAAATGATGATGAATACAATTCTTCATAAACAGAATAAAATCTCATGCCTTGTATATCTCAATGATATTCTAGTCTTTTTAAACTCATATAATGAATATCTGAAGCATCTCAATGAAGTGCTTATAACTCTGACAGAGTATAAGCTCTACATTAAATTAACAAAGTGTGTGTTTGAAATGAAAGAGTTGAAGTTCATAGAACATGTAGTGAGTGATGACTGTATATATCTCATTCTGAAGAAATTGAATGTTATAGTGAATTGATCATGGCTGAGAAATGTATATCATGTATAACAGTTTCTTAAGTTAATCTCATATTACTGCAGATTCATCAAGAATTTCATATAAATATCTGCATCACTCTCAGATCTCTTAAGAGAAATGAATGCAAATCTGTGAAAGAAGAAGTTTCATTTAATTATCTGAAATACTGTATGTAAAGAGGCTTTTCTCACACTGAGAGAACATATAATAACATTCTCAGTGCTTATTCAATCAGATCATGATAAACCTTTCTACATTGAGACAGACACATCTGAATGAGCTATCAGAGACACTCTTCTATAGATGAGCAAGAATGACAAGCTGTACTCAGTGATGTATAATAGTAGAAAACTATCAGATGCTGAGCTCAATTACTCAGTGTATGAAAAGAAATTGCTAGTAATCAAGCACATACTGATATTGTGAGATAGATATATTAACAACAGATATATAACAACAGTGATCATAAATCATAAAAGTCTTATCTATCTATAATTGATAATAAAACCTTTCAAATGCTTAGTATGTTGAATCTCAGAGTTTCAAGTGTATAATCTTTATATCAAATACTGAAAGAAATCAGACACTGTAATATCTGATGTAATCAGTCACAGACCTGATTTCATGAGTGAGAGTTCTGTGAATCAGGTACAAGAAACATTCATATTAAACACACTGAGAGAATGCAAGGAATCAGAATGAGTGAATATTATAATCTCTTACTTGAAGAATGACAAGATATTGAATAATAAGTGTCTTATAAAAGTAGTAGAAGAGATGCTTCTGAACTTCAAGCTGAGAAAATTGAAAAATGACATTGTACTTTACCATGATCTAGAATATGCAGAAGCTCTCTATCTAGAATCTTCATTTAGACATGACTTGATGACTCACATGCACAGGGAATTCAGTCACTTAGAAAGTCCTGAACTCATGAGTGTACTTAAATCAAGAGTATACTGACCAAGCATGGCCAAGGACATTCAGATGTACACTCACAAGTGCCCGAATTACCAGGTTATGAAAGAGTCTAAGAAAGGGTTAGAATATGAGAAAGTGCAACATCAGATAAAGTATATAATACAACTGTTCAAATAATGAGAGATGAATCTCATAGACATATTACTGTAAATATCAAATGAAAATTGATAAATAATCACTACTATTGATTATGCTACTGACTGACCAGTTATAAAAGCAGTTTCAGAAATGATAGAGAAGATGATAATGAAGTTTCTACATAATAAGATCTATATCAACTATGAAATGCTGCATGTGTAAGAATAAGTACTCGCAGACAATTATTCAGGTGTTTGCAGCTTGGTGTGATATGTACTGTTAACTACTAGAAGTATTCATGGTAGAAAGATAAAATGTAGAAGTCAAATGTATAATAGCATTTAAGCTGAGTTGTGAATAGTATTCACAAACTTCAGTCTATATAGTTGTGTGTAGTCAAGGGCCGCTAGCTCTATTGATTATATAAGAGATAGAAATAGAGGTAAAGAATTCATGAGAAGTAGAATTTCTTACATACTCTTCCCTCTCTAAGGCTTCATCCGCGAAGCTTTTCTGACTTCATAGAATCAGCTCAGCACTGCAGTGATACTCACTAAAAACTCTTTATATCTATAAAAAACCTCAGTGAGGAAAAATCCCTTGTTATCATAAAGAGAAAAAAGTCTGTTACTCAGTTTCTTATTTCACAAGGTTTTTTATAATCTACAGATTCTTCTCTGACTATCACACAGATTTATCTCACATCTTTCATACAGAAGAGTTTCAGTTGACTCTCAATTATTTTCATGAGATTCTTGTGTGATTATTACACAGATTCATCTCACAGATGAATCACTCTCTATGAGATTATTCTCATTAAAGAGAAGTATTCATGAGTTAATCTTTTACTTATTCTTATGAATTATTGTTCTTTGACACTGTAGAATTGTGAGGAATTTTTCATTCTTTTATTAACTCTGTAGAATTGTAGAATCAAGATATCTGCAGTCTGCAATTACTCTTTATAGTTATATAAAAAGATTCAGATCTGTGATTCACAATCACTCTTATTTACTAGAGTGATCTGACTATTCTATGAAATCACTCACAGTGTAAACAAACCTCTCTAGAGTAGTATAAATATCCCAGATCTGTCTGTGAAATCTTATCTTCTTTTTTCTTTTTCTGTAATAGCTTTCATTCTTATAAACTGTGAGTATTCTCATTCATCTGTGAAGAGTTTTTATTCAGATAATAGAGAGAGAGTATTTCTGATAATATCTGCATATTAATTCAAGAACTTCTCAAGAATAAAAGTTTTTTCAATTTCAATATCTTTATAAACAATGTCTGGCTGCTGCTGAGCTTCTTGTGAGTGTCCTCACAACTTCTCTGATTGCTTTTTACTGGCTGGTGAAGCAGGGGTGCTGCCACTCATGATCATGTCTTCATCTTCCTCAGTCTCACCACTGCACCCGATCTTCAGGCCAGCAGCTAATCTCATGCCTCTCTCAGACCAGCCTCTGGCTCTAAGCAGTGCAGTTCCTCTCTTTGCTGTAAGTCTTCTCATAAGTAATTTCTTACAGATTCTAGCTGACAGTTCTTGCAAAGCTCTCAGTGTTGTCAGTGTCTTCTGCAGTCTCACAGGTCTATGATCACTCCTTCTCTGTTCACACAATCTCTGACCAGATATATATGAATATGTCTAGGTTCTCTATCAATGATCCTCGCGCTGCGGCGCATTTCTGCAATTCTATTGTCAATGAGAGATGAATTTCTGAGTACTCATAAAATCCAGATAATCAAGGCAATGTGAATACTATGAATTTGTGATAGAAGTTGACCTGAGCAGATGAGTCTTCTCTTCATATCTCAATTATTTTCAGACTGAATACTTCAGTATAACTGAAGAAGTGAACATAGCTTTGTAAGAAGTATCTGATCACACATGCAGATAATCAGCTCTCAAGACTCTGCTGTAACTGTGTATATTCTGATGTTCAGCTTCTCTGAAGTCTGTGCATTTCTGACAGTCTTTATATCAAATATAACAATTGTCTGTACTGTGAGTATAATACTCTCTACTTCTTTGAAGAGAGAAATTGATAGTTGTGAGAGAGTTAAGTGTCACAGATATTGAGAGTATGAGTATGAGTTTTCTTTGTTTTTTCTTTATTAATCTCTAAATTATGTTCACAGCCCTGTTTATTTTCTTGTTTTTTAGCTTTAATAAGAATATGATTTCTTCTTTTCTTATATACACTGCAGACTGTTCATTTCAGTAGAAACTCATTATCTTATAGACTAGAATTTATAAATGACAGTGTTAATATCTTTATTATAATCAGATTCTTAGTGAAGACTGTGTTATTCTGACTTATCAGAATTTATAGTATAAAAGTCATGTCTCAGCTTCTACAGATATCTTATCTACTCAGATAATTCTCAAGTGAACTTATTCATCTTATCAGAATACTCTTGTCACTGAATCTTGAATCAGAGCTCATGATCTTACTTCTCTGAGTTAATAATCTCTTTGATCTGATATTCTCTTTCACTCTCTAGTACTTCATGAATAGAGTGATGAATTACAGAGTTCTCTTCTGAAAATTCCTTATATTCATGAAGTAAAGAGATATGAAAAACATTGTATATCTATAACTCAGATAACAGTTTTAATTTATAGAACTGTGAGCTAACTTTCTTCATAATTTTATAAGACTCTGTTTATAAGAGATTCAGCTTCTTACTAGATCTTCATATAATAATGTTTTCTAAACTCAGTCAGACTCTATTATCTTTCTTGAAACTCTTTATAATATGCTTGAAGTCATAGTATCTCTTCTGATACTCTTAAGTCTTTCTCAAGAATTTATAAGCTTTCTCCTGAATCTTCTGAATTCTCTCAGCTCATTCACAGGCATCATCACACTCTATAGTGTACTCTTGTAAATCTATCAAGATTATCTGTGAATAAGTCTCAGTGAGCATCTTAAAGAGGGTTTTATCTGTGCTGACATGTTTTGAGTTATTATATATGAACTCTATAAGTAATAATTAATACACTCAGTTATTCTGATTGTAATTAACAAAGTACTACAGATACTGTTTTAATATACTTATCAGATATTCTATCTGATTATCTGTCTGTTAATGAAAAGCTATACTTAAATCTCATAAGATCTTCAGTATAGTCATCAGATTAGACTAGAACTCTTCTATAAAAATTAATTCTCTGTCTGAGATAATGTTCATAGATAACTCATGTAATCAGATTACATTGCAGATGAAGATATAAGTCAAATTCTTTGACTTCAAGTTCTTACAGATAAGTATAAAGTGTGTTATCTTGATAAAGTAATTCACTATCATCAGCACACTGTTAAAGTAAGTATCATATATGTTCTTGCTTTCAGAGAGGCTTATAAGAGCATTTATTTCTAGCTGTTCTCAAGGTTTCTGTGAAATGAGTAGAGAAGTAAGTTCTTTATATAGTCTGAACTACACTACTTATAAATTCTGATAAATAGTATAAGAATTCACTATCTTCTTTATAAGTTCTTATATCTTCAATTAGAAGTATTTTCTTGTAAGCAACTCATAAGTTCTAGTATCTATAAAATAACCTGCTAGAGAAGAGTTATGATATCTTTTAATGAGTTCTATATATAGAAACTCATTTACAGGCACATAAATTCAGTTCTCTCTTTATAAGAGATTATTTAAGTCTCTTTAATCCTTTATTTCTACAGGATTGATCTCTATTATAAGCAGTTTCTAAATATACTAAGTATATTCATTCTTCAGTTGTAGTTCAGATAATCTGAATAGAAGATCTTATGAAGACTTATACTCTGTTTTCTCTTACATCAGGTCTTCTGCAGTACTTCTCAAAGCTTATAAACTCTTCAGATTATAGATACTCTCTTCAAGAATTCTCATAAAGATCTTCAGAGTGTTAACTCTCAGTATTATAGAAAGTAGTTGTACAGACTTCTTCTCTCTCTCTTTCTTCTTCTTTTATAAGAGATTGAGAGACTCTTCAGTCAATCTCTTTATAACACTCAGTCTGAGCATCTTACAAAGCTTTTCTGTCTTTTCTAATCTCTCTATATCTGTTATTCTGATCTTCTTAATATAGTCTGATCTGTGAGAGAGTCTGTCTGCTGAGTTCTTAGTTCTCTTAATATGTTCTATCTTGAATCAGAACTCACTCAGTCTCTGAGCTTAGTGAATCTGCTGCTGTGAGAGTTTCTTGATTGAAGTAAACTGTTATAAGCTGTTATAATCAGTTCTAACAGTAATCACTGTTATAAGACTCTCAAAGTAGTGACATTAGTGATAGAAGAATTTCACTATTATAAGAAGCTTCTGATCATGAATGTTATAGTTAATCTCTACAGATTGTATCTTCTATAAGAAAAAGATCACTGAAACTCAGTTCTTATTTAACTGTAGTTATGAGACTATTTCTGAAATTATAAAGAAGAAGATATCTGTCTTTAATCTGATTAAGAGTAAGAGATTAAAGTGAAACAGTATTACTGTATTTATAAATATCTATTTCAATCTTATAAAAGTCTCATAAGCTTCTGAAATAAGAAAGTTCTCACAGTTCTTTCTTCTTAATAACCTTTTCATTCTCTGTTTATAAGATAACTTCTTCTTATTTTCATTCTTCAGCATGTCTGTAAGAATTAAGAAGATTCTCATAAATACAAAGATAAACTATCTATAGAAATTCACAAAGCTCAGAAAGATCTGAATCTCATGAATACTAGTTAACTTCAGTCATAATAGAATAATCTTAACTTATGAAGATTTCATCTGAATATCATCTACAGTGATTATATATTCTAGGAAATTAATTCAGCAGACACTGAAGTTGCACTTCATAAGCTTAATATACAGTTCTGTCTCATCTAAGACCTTTAACACACTTCATACATGCTCAGTATGTTCTTTCTTCTTCACAGAGTACACTATCACATCATTCAGATATATTATCATGAAGACATTCAGATATATATGAAGTGTTTTATTAATGAAAGACTGAAATGCTGCAGAGATATTAATCAGATTAAAAGACATTACTAGATATTCAAATAATTTCAGTGCAGTTCTAAAGACAGTCTTTTATTCATTCTCAGACTGTATTCACAGCTGTGTATATATATTGATTATATTCAGTTATATGAATATGACAGCTTCTGTGAGACAGTTGATCACATTCTTAATCAGAGATAGAGAATAGCAGCTCTTTATTATCTTGAAGTTCAGATCATGATAATCTACATATAATCTGAGATCTTTATTCTTCTTCTTTATAAATATCACAGAGACTTTCATGAAGACCTGTGAAGATTAGATAAAGTCATTCTTCAGATTCTTCTTTACATAGATCTGCAAGATCTCTGTCTCATAATAGAAGAGCTTATAGATTGATTCTTAGAAGAGTTTCTACTCTTCTATCAAATCTATTATCAGATTCTTCTCACAGTGAGAGAGAAGCTCAGCTGCCTTTACTAAGCTAAACATCTCTGTAAGATCTCAGTATTTCTCTGATATCTGAAGCTCAGTTTTCATGATCATAAGATTCTCAGACACTTACAAAGTTATCATATAGATAAGCTTGTCTTCTCTAATCAACTCTACAGTATTAACTGATTCTATCTTCATAAGTAAGTCTATCAACACTGATTGAAAGTATAAACCTGACTCACAGACAGCTATGTGTGAATTGTGTCTTTAAAGTTATACAAGTCTCAAGTACATGTCATCTATAATGTTTGTGATAATCACAGTTTCTGCAAATCTTCTTCAGATTTTAGAGAGATCTTGTAATTCAAAGATAACTCTTGTAAGTCTCTTAGTTCTCAGATCTGAGTTCTCACACTCTGCTTATTATAAGAGCAGGTTTTCAGTTTTCATCTTTCAGCTCATTCACTTCATGAGCTTTAGAAACATTATAGTGACCTGAGATTCTGAGTTCATCAATACTTTTCATGCTTGCAGAGCAGTAGTACTGCAGTGCAGTCTCTTCTCATAAGCAAGTATTTTCATTGAGAGAGTAACAGATTCAGGTGTCAGCTTCAAGACTCTTAAGAAGGCTGTTACTGACTCTGTTCATGACTTCTCAAATTTCTATTTTAATTTGTCTGAACAGTTTGCATGAAGATGTTCTAATTTAGAACAGATAAAGCAGAGTTTCTTTTCCTTGATTCTTCTGTTATACACTCTGTTTACAGAAGCTTATGAGACTCTTTCTCTCTGCTTAGCAGTCAGACATGAATCTCTCTATATCTTGTTATCTTTTTCTGATAAATCTGTTCTCTGTTGTTCTGATTCTCACAGAGCTGATTAATAATTCACTCTCTACAGGTCTGTGACTCTCACAGTGATCTGTAAGCAGTGAATAAGAGTCATCAGTTTCTTCAGAGTTAAGAGCTTAGAGTCTTACTTAATGAGCTTGTTCTGTATATCTTTATTCAGTCTCTTTATAAATATCATCATTCAGGTCTTGTTTCAGAGCCCTGTTTTCACAGATCTCAATTCATATCACAATTTTAT